GTCAGTCAGTCAGTCAGTCAGTCAGTCCGTCAGTCCGTCAGTATGTCACGGCCTTACGCCACGCCACGCCACGCCGGACTGCGAATAAACCTACAGAACATTGGAATGTTCTTCAGCTCGTATATGAGGACATATCAGGGAGCAAATGTCGCGTATATGTTTTCGTTTCGTCACATTCGCATAATTTGGCTTCTCTCGCGTACAAGCGGTAAAATATTAAATATTTTTTCTTTCTTCGTCGTTTAAATTTGAGATGGAATTTGCGACCCCTTATCAAGTTCTGAAAAATATATTTAAATTTTGTATATAATTTTTAGTAAAACATCAACATAGGAAATTAAAAGTTTAAAAATGTGTAAAACCCTCACCATACAAATTAATACTAAACTACACACGCAGCCACGTTGAAAACGACGAAAGAAATATGTAACGACGCTTCGGCGACAATTTTCAATTATTCCACGCTTCTTAAACCTATTTGCAGTGCCCACGTAAAAATAAAATATGAAAAAATGCCATCCACATATTATCAAAAAGGTTTTGATACGTTTGGCTGAGTTTGTTCTTAGTACAGGCAACAAATGGTTATTTTGATTTTGAAATTGCGTTATCGTGAAACACACAGAATTCGTAATTGTTTAGAGTACGCAAACGAATTTCTGAGATCGGAAAAGGGGAGAGAACATTTCAAATAATTAAGATAAGATAGAAAATACTGTGCAGTTTATCTGTGTCTTACCGGCTGAGATGGCTCAGTGCATTAATTGAGGTCATTGCAGAGCCTGTGACCGGGAGGTCCCAGAGTTCGAGTCGCGACAAGGGCAGGATTGTCGGGCAGGAGCCAAATAACTACATTGAATTCAGCCGCTCTGAGGAGAAATCTAGTGGGCTGCTGATCGAGTTTTGTGGCTTCTCCGATCAACACAAAGCCAAAGTAATTTCCTAATAAACAGGCAATGGCCCGCGCAATATGTTCTTCCTCTTCCTTGGACTATCCTCACCGCTTACACCGACGCACACAATGCATGTACTGCACAACCATACATGCCGGGAGACGTGTCGGTAACTTAGAGCTTGTCACGGACCACGCTCGATCTCTTAGTCCTCTTCTTAATCCTGCCCCCCTTATTTACACACCTTACACTATCACACATGTGTGAGACGAGTCGGGAGCATAGACCAGTCCCGGATACGGCGGTGCCCTGCTGGTGGTGGATACCTGGACGAGGAAAACTCCACAAGTTGACGTATAGGTTGGCGCCAAATCTCTCCACCCTGCCTGGGAAGAACATCGTCACCTCCCATAATAATACATGCAGTGCACTTGACGACCATATCAGTTAACGCGCCAGTCAGTCAGATAGTTAATCAATCGAGTCGGTGACTAATCCGGATAGTCTGTAGAGCACCTCGTGTTCAAATTCTTCTACGCTCGCTTGTATTGCATCTGTGCTTGAATCCTCTTTCAGCGCAGATGCGAGGTGAAAGCATGTGTTAAGTTAATTGTTAAATTTGACGTGCACCTTGCTTCACAGAAGTTGTGGGAGGACAACGTCGGTGTATTTTGCAGATCTCTTTCGCCTGACAACGGGGGTAGTCTTCGCCTTCGCACGTGTGGCCATTTCGTGTTCCTAATCAGCAGGCCTCTGTTATGACGTCTGCTGAGTGGGTAGAGCACGCTCTAGTCTCCTTTCCGTGTAGACATGCCTCTTTTTTCTCGACCCTTTTAATCCTCCTCCACGTCTCACGTCTTCAAATATCTTCTCTGCGTTCGATCTTTCAATTTAATGTTTTGCATTCGTTTTTTTGAATTTTCTATGGAGGTTCTCGCGCGCTCTTGTCCTCTGCCAGTGCTCTGTGTAGATTCTTTTGTGCCAACTATTAATTTGCCACACATTAGTTAGCGTTACCTTGTGCCTTCGCTTATCCTCTTATTACTGTTATAAAGTCCTTCTTTGTCCAGGAATTACCATTACCGCACCACTCTGATTAAAAACCTCTCAGCATCCTCCAGCCCTGTATTTGGTATTGCTTTTTATACATATTCTTTCTGCTGTCAATTTTTTTCTCCTGACACAGTAACACATCTTAATAAATCTACTGTCGAGTATTTCCGTGTAGTGGCATTCTTGACTCGGTTTGTTCTTGCGTCTTTTAGTGTCTGTGCACTGTTGCGGTTATTTAAGTGAGGATGAGTTGCACAACTATGGCCTGTGGCATTGTGATGTAAAAATTTCTGCCTTGTCTGGCTCGTGTACACGAGTTGGAAGGGGGGTCTTCATCACTTCCAGAGTTACACAACAATTGTGATGACTAATGGCGTGCGAGACAATGAGCAATCTGCAAGTTTATGAATTAGAGTTCGTCAAACTAAAATTAAAGTGATTTTTTCGGTGTTCCTTACTGAGACACTCACTATCCTGTTTTTAAGCCTTTATACTACCTTAGAAACATAATTTTCTATCTGCTGCGATCTTTCGAGGTCTTTTGTGCCCTTTCTATGTCTGTTGACTATTTTGCTCTTGAGTTGCAATAATTCGCAATCTGAAATATAGTACAGTAGTGATGTAGATGGGAGGGGGGGGGGGAGGCAGAAGACCCTCGTACAGGCCCCCACCTCCCAGGCTTCCCACTGAAGATACCTAATCAGGTAAAACCGGTTTTCTCTAGGTATCTATGATTTTATTAATAAAAACATTTTCCCGCCTAGATTATGCAAGCTTCGATAATAATTGCTACGCTGTCCAATAGTATTCGGTAACAATAGCGTCGATATCTAGACAACACCTGTCTCGTTAGTTTTACCTAGATATCACAAACTTCAGAACTTAATATATCGATTGGTGCCTACAAGCCAAGGCGCCTCCTTTTATCAAGGAGGCTCCCTCGGTCCACTCGCCCTTAAACTTCTCCGTGTCGTGGCTAATGGAGTAGTTAGTATTGCGCTTGAGTGCCTAATTTGAAAATACAGTTTTTTTTCAGCCCAGGCCAGTAGCTCGTATTCGCGTGTAATATGATTTAAATTTCTCCCCTCAGTACGCCGCATACAGTTTTCAGCTGTTTTTTGTCCTTAAATAAATTGAATTAAATTAAATATGACACTGCGCGACTGTTTATTTTGTCAATGTGGAGATAATTTGCGATTAAATTTGAACGCTACTAGTATTGATTGTTTTTCGTAATGAAAGGGGGGGGCGTAGAGATTCGCAAATGTCGGGTTCCTGTATTTGAACGCTACCCACTATATTTTTTTCAGAAATATCGCCTAACTTTTTAAATATTGATTTTCATTTCATTTAATTATTTTTTCGAATATTTATAAATGTTTACAAAAGATTCGTGAACACCAATTAAACAATTAGTGAATTTTCCACCTCTTGGTATTCATTGTTCATTGTTCGTGCATTTTAATTAACGACGACGATTTTACTTGAATTTGAGTGATATTACCATTGCCCCACTTAAAGCTTTGATACAAACTGCAACATAATTAGACGTTTACTTTATTACTTTACGTTATAAAAAGAGAAAGTATTGAAATCGTCAACCGGGCAACGGCGAATTTTCGACAGAAAAACTCGTATTCCTTGCTCTTGGTAACGAAAAAGTTGACATCTCGTTCCTATATGTATTAAATTACTTCATAAAACACATGTAGTCAGAACCAATGTTTTGCGGGTTGATCTCTGTATATTCGAAAATTGCCGAATATAGAAGTATTGCGAGAAATTAAGTGCTGTTGTGGCCCCGCTAGTTTCAAAACTTCACTATCAGATTCATATTGTAGGTATTCTGGGTATAATAAATATGTCAATTTGAGTACATTTACTTACATTTTCATTTTCCTATATATTTTTTCTACTTGCCATATTTTATTACTTCACTTTTCATGGATTATGGCATTTTGTGGGACAGCTGCATAGACCTAAATTTCTGCCTGGACATTCTCTTCAGCCTCTTTGTTTGAGAACAGAGACCTTCCAATTTCATACACGTTTCCATTTTGGGAACATCAAAAGACTTATTACGGACACGGTGTTAAGTGATGAAAGCTGCTTACCTTTCGCAGTGCGTAGTGCTTCTAAGGAACGCTAAATATTTCATCCGATTTCTTGGATCAAAGACTAAATTCTATACTCCGTTGTAATTAATAACTTTAATGAAATGTGAGAGAGTTTTATTTTTAACGTTGAAGGAGTTCACAGGTTCTGATTAATACTGCTCTTCTACCATATCCTTATTATTCTTAATTCTCTGAAATTTCAACCAACAGTTTTGTAAAATAATACGTCGTACAATTCTGGGAATTTATGAATTTTCATATATAATGTAATACGATGTTAATTGTTTAATGCATTAAATAGCAGTATGTTAACGAATGAAATGTGATCTTGCTCCTCAAGAGTTTTTATGAGATAATCCAAAACAAACTGTTGAAAAACTTGTTTTACAGGATTAGTTGCTTGTAGAATCAGGTTGTTAATGTATAAAGGATCATGAATTACCTCGCTAACATGAAAAGACTATCATCATAAGATGTAAATTGCGTCTCTCTCTCCCAGCCTGTCAGGATGTGCAGACAAGATTTTCGTAGAGACGTGTCACTTCCTCTGTTCCTCTCGCAAAATTGGGAAGAGCTTCTCCTGGTTAACGTTCTTAATTGATTGCACTGTGCGCATTTGCCAGAGGAAGTCGTTCATGTGCATGTGCTAAGTTCATCGAGGCGCGTATGGTCGCCTTGATGTGATCGTGTTTGAGTCACATTGACACCGTGTATTTTCTGCTTTACAGTGGTGCCTTCTCCGAGGTGCGCCTTGCCGAAAGCAAGGAGAAGCCTGGCCAGATGTTTGCTGTGAAAATCATCGACAAAAAGGCGCTTAAAGGAAAAGAGGACTCCCTAGAAAATGAAATCAAGGTCCTTCGAAGGTAAGTTTCATATGTTTGATCTAGTTTTTGTTCATAGATTTAATTCGGGTTTTAACGAGTAGTTATTGTTAACGTTTCTTTAGTATTGCAAATTTTCTCACTTCTGATTTTCGGGAGATAATTTCAGATTTTGGTTCATAAAGCCGTAAACGTGCTTAAACATTTAAATGCGTTCGATCGCTATTGAATGTAAACATTTTATAGTACTACAGTAAGAAATTACTACAGTAGACTACTAAAGACAACAGTAAAAATTGTAAGTCTTCACGGTTATTTCTTTTTAAAGGCTATATTTCCTGTATCTGTAGTGTTTATATTGCGGAACATGAAAAGAGAGGCATAAAATCTCTTCCGAAACGAGATTAAAAAAAAACGCAATACCATTACTTAAAGGAAGACGAGTACCAATGAACAGCACGACTCAGCTTCATGAAAAGTTTGTTTAAATACATTACTTAAATGTAAAATCGTTTTTAAAGCTAAGTAGACAATATTGGTTTGTCTATTTATTTATAATAATGTCAGTATGGAAAATGTAGTTTATTTATGGTATTTTGTCAAAAAATTGTGAAATCTTAATATTGCAATTTTATTCCTGGCGGGTTGCAATCAACCAAGTTAATTGCGAATCAATTAAAAGTTGTTCAAAAATATATAATCAATTGCAAGTTGTTCAAAATTTTTCAGCCCAAGGAAATCTGGAATTGAATGGGCTATAGAATTCGAGGTGCTCTTTGATTATCAAACTCTTCCCGAGACGGAATGACCTTTGATACGTCCCCAAACACTCTCTCATTTCATATCTATAATAGTTGTTCGAACGATCGCCATAGATCAACCTATCCGTGGCCGTCAATACATGATTCAGGCTTTCAGGCCTTTGACAGTATTCCCGCTCCCCCTGCTCTTCGTTTCGTTACGTTTCATATGGATGCCCCTTTTCACCGTACCTGTCATTTTCCGTTTCAATCGTCAGTGCACGTACCGCTTTGGCGAAATCTCTTGTCGAATGCACGCAATAAGCCAATACAACCCTTTACGTCAACCGTGCTGGTAGTTTTCGTTACTCCAATATACTCCTATGAGATACCACCAGCTTTCATTTTGAGAGTTGTAGCCATCACTGCATCTAGAATGAATTACTTAGGTTACATTAGGCTGTGTGATCGTGCATTGAAACCTGCAATTGAATGTGCAATATTGGTTTTGTAGACCAAGAGTTTCCAAAATACGATCAATTCTGCTGTATACTAGAAATAACATCGTGAGAGGTAGAAAGAAAAAAATGTTATATAGAGTGCAAGTTAGAAATAAATCTATCAATGCTGTTATGCAATTCTTCTTACCGAATGAGCTTTGCTCGCGGAAATAGGTGAAAACCAATGTGGAATCAAATGAAGTTTGGTTGAGATTAGATTTTATTTGCTGAGCTCTCGGTTCTAGACTTTTAACTTCTTCTTTAACAGTTGTAAAACTACCATTTTATTATCAGTCCACTTTTTTGTAATTAAAAACATTAAACGTTTGCATTTTTGTCGTATCGTATTTAAAATGTTTGTATTACTGTTACCCTTCACGAAACACGCACGTAGTGTTTCGGGGTCTCGCTTCAGGTCGCTGCAGCCTCGAATCTCGCAGGCTTGTTAGCGATATTCTCGATCAAACAGAGAGGGAGGAATCGGATACTTGTCTGCTCAGGAATGGCGATGACGCTAGGAAGCGAAAGGATCGTTGTCTGACAGAAAGTAGATTTATTTAGTCAAAAAACAGTAAAAACTAGAGGGGACGTATGGGAAAAATAATCTGCAAATGTTTTCACGAGTTCCAGAATATCTTCCCATCATTTCAGCTATAAATAATTGAAGAATGAGTAACAGTTCAAGATAAATAAATAAAAATAAAATTTAAAAAGGGCGAGGTTAGCAACCTAGACATTTTTGTTCCCGAGTTATAGAAAATTTAATTGCAGCGGTAAACGAATTGCAGGTTTGATTTTCTGCATTGCTAACAAAAAAGTAACTTACCCTTACATCTAATCATACCACTACAAGCAAAAGGAGAGTTCAACAAAACGTGCGCATAGTTTAATCTACATTTACGTGCAGAAGCAAAACAAGGGTAATCTCGGCATTTGCTCAATGTTTCAGGTAAACTAGACAAAACCCTGATCGAGTTAGGGTTGTCCACGATCGATGACTGTTGTTCGGGATTGTCTGAGAAAAACAGGGATGTCGTGATCAGAGCAGCCAACCACAGCTTCTGTATCAATAACCCATCTCAATGAGTTTTTTCGTAGTTTTCCTTGATCCATTGAGCAATGCTGAGAAAGCCTCTTGTTTTGCTTCTGGGCTTGCATGTGTCTTCATTATATTACACTTTTTTTGAGCTCTCCTTTTGCTAGTTGTGGTAGATGTAGAGCCAGGGTGTGGTTTGCTATTTTGTTTTCAATACTACAAAATCAAATCTGTAGTTAGTGTGTCCAAGCAAATACGTTTACTCAGGAGTGAAATCTAAGTTTTAAAATGTTATTAACCAAGCTTAGTTGGTGCTGCTATTTATAATTCAACTAGAGATAACTTGATATGGATGTAAAAAGGATGAGCAGAGATCCTGGTGCTCAAGAAAACGTGCGCAGATTCATACATCTTCCCCATAAGTCACATACAATTTTTACTATTTGACAGTAAACAAATGAAATGGAAGCAAAATAGAACTGGAATCCGTGCAATGGTAGGCTTCGATTCTGATATTTAACTGACGTCGAGACTCCTCGTCGACAGAACTTTAACATTGCATCTCGGAACCTGCGTAGCGTCAGTAGAGGGCTCTTACTCTATACCTACCTTACGCGGTCGCCTCTGGTTGAGAGGGAAATGACCGTTTACACAGGTGTCACTTAAGGGTTGTTTCGAGGATATATTAGTATGACAGCGGGAAGCGGATATTCGGCCTAATTTTTCATCTGGCATTGAAGTTGCATTGTTTGTTAACGAATGTATCACACTTAAACTGCAAAATAAAGCAAGCTTTTTTGCATCTGTGCGCACAAACAACTTGTATCCAAAATCAATCAGTTGACACTTTCTCTTTTCTCATTCACTCCTCTTTCACTCTTTTCACTTTCTTGTTTCTTCCCATTCGGGAACTTGATCCCTAACTAGAATTCAAGCTGCACTACACTTTGCCAGCAAACCCAGAGTGCCATAGGGGGGTGTTCTTGGTACGTTATGTTTAGCATACATTAATGATGTTTGGAAGGGAATGAAATCAAATATTATTTTGTTTGTTTTTCAGGTGATTGTATATTTTTTCGGGAAATTAAATACGGAAGTGAATGAAAAATCTGATTTCCATTGGCTGGAGTCGTGGGCTGCCACAAATACAATATTTGTAGAACGTGTAAATTACGTTGTGAAAAGAGCGTGGAAGGCATTTCATTGTGATTAGGGTACAAAAGGAATTAAAAGTGAAAAATCGATGGATTTAGGATACTCATCTTTAGTATGGCCTATACACGAATACGACTATGTTGGGACCCGTTTCATTTAGAACAAATAAAATCTCTCGAAATAGTGCAAAACTACGTAGCAAAATGTGTTTAGAAACACCATTCTAGTTCTGGATTTCTATCGTGAGATATTTTGGGGGAACGTTGAGAAAAATCGGGACTTGCATTATTCAAAGCACTACTAGGAGATTCTCTATTGGAGGAGTTGGCTTTAAAATCATCAAAACTCAAATACGCGGAAGCATCATGGTTCTAAACGTAGGCAAAGAAAACAGGAAATTAAGAAAACATTGTAATTAAAAAATACAAAATGGGAACAAATTATCTTTCCTCATTGTTCGAAAATACTGAAAAGTAGATTAAATAAGATGTAATTGTTTTCTTTTAGAGGATGTTTATATTAAAATGAATTATTTTATATTATTGTATATTAGTATGACAGTGCTGACAGGCTAGGATTAGGACATTCATTTAGTAACATTTAATTACGTACATGTGTAATTATTTTTTGTTGACTTAGCTATTGGAATTAGAAAATAGTTTGAAAACGCTGCCACTTGTATTTACATGTAATCGTAAGTAGCTAATAAATAATTAATGCTTAAAGTCCGGGGCCTGCATGAAAAATCATTTTTTACCTATAATGCAAATTAATCATCCCTCGCAACATAAGTAACTCTAGATATAGCAGTTCCGTAATCCCATAGAGCGCCCCAACGTAGGGAGATGCTGAATAAACAGTAATATCTACCGATCCCCGCGTCTTAATTCTTTACGTATCAAAATTGTAAGTCTGACAAACGATATGTCCGTGTAATACAGGTTCAATTACGAAATGTGCTCGGACCCGCCGCCGATGTATGTAACCGCTTAAAATAGGGTATATTTGGCCGTTAGTATGGTCTGTTATTGGAGGTAGCTATTAAGTATTTAGCGTATTTAGCAGGGTCTGTTAAAATAGGTACGCTCTGTCCGCCAATATTTAGATATTTTAATTGCTTTTCAATTCGCTGTATCGTGACCTTCTTCAGCAGTCTGCCCATACCGGCTTTCTCTCTTTTTCGCTGGTTCCTGGAATATACCATCCTGGTTCCCTTACAAATCCCCCGATACACCTCTTATTGGGATAGTACCGTCTCCACGTCTACCGCTAAGGAATGGTGTCCATATGGACTTGTTTGGGAGCTTTCCTGTTGTAGTTGCGGAGAAGATACCCCGTTTGCGAAAAAAAATCCTTCATACGTCGTCTTTGGGAGGGGAAGTAAAGCAGGCTGTCTCATTTGCAGATTTACATGTAAAATATCCTCTAGCCTAAAAGAAGCCTTTGACCTAACTTGAAATCGCCGCCTAAGTAATACCTTCTTTTTCCGCTAGATGGTAAATAGAACGTGTTCAGACGGAAGAGCAAGCCTAATGGAGTCTCGCCACGTAAAATAGGGCATCAGTGAATTGAATTGTGGGACCCTCTTGGACGTTCACAGCCTTATTATGC